ATTTGCTATTGCTGTTAATTAAATTGAATTCTACATGATTATGCATCGAATTTAATTTTCTCCAGGAAATTTGACAATATGACCGAATTAGTAACTTTTATGAAATTAGTCATAAAGTTTGATGAGAGTAGTAAACCGACTTTTGAGTTAAATACCTAAGATTCTGACAAATTAGTCATAAAGCATTAACGACAAAGAGCTCAATACCAAATTTAATGGTTTATGTAATTGTCAACTGACTATACTCTTATAGTCTTATATGCTTGATTATTGGAAGGTTTAGGCAAATACCTGGTTGTGACAATTATTGTTGATGCATTTTGAACCTTGATTGTGTATAAATTGGCCATTTAAAGAGGTATATAATTGGAATGGGAATTTTATATCTATATATGATCAACGGTTTGGGTGCCTGCTACTATATAATTATTTCTGATTTTGTTTTTTTTAATTAACTCATTGCTTGTATGTTGCTGCTTGTTAGCATATCAAGACTACTAACTAATTGAAACATTGGATATACAGTATTAGTCAAAACTGTCATGATGACAAATATATAAACCATTAAATTTTGTTTGATAGGTACTGAGTACTTGGTCATTAGTTGATTATATTGCATAAAGGTGTCGAGCAGCTTCTCATTAACCTAGCTATTGTCTAAAAAGCTTATGAAAGTCCTACTTATTTTAACTACTAGTGGAATTCAAGATACTCTTATGAGTAGACTAGTATATCTGATTAAGATCATACTTAATATATACTAATTTTTTTGTAAAATCTTACAATAATTTAGTTTCTTATCTTATTTAGTAGAATTCAGGGTATTTTTATTGCTTACTAGTACTTTGTCTAGGTGTGGCCATTTATAGATATGATCAAGTGACCTGTGCATATTTGCTTAAAAAAATTATTCTATGAAGTAGCTTATACCATGATTGTTTATAAAAATAAAGCACATGAGTTTATATAACTCTTATTAGAGGTACTTCCATGGTTTATATGCTTATCACTTATATATTAGAGGTACTTCCATGGTTTATATGCTTATCACCTATATAACTCCTATTAGAGGTACTTCCAGTTGATGATGTTACTCGTTGGGATTAGTTAAGATGTAATCCTATTAGAGATTTGATAGGCATCTGAGAAGCATTATGGTAAGCGGTTAGGTGTAAAAATTATCAGCTTCATGACTTGCAAGTATACAACCAATATGCATGTTTACTTATATAAATCTCTGATGCTATTCTTTTTATATTAGTAATCTTTTTTTGATGTTGTATACTTGGTTTGGCTTAAGGTTCTATTTTGTGTAGCAGAATTAATCAGACTATTTTTTTGATGTCATCTTTTCATTCTCTTTCGATCTAGCCCTATCCATACTAGTAAACCATAGTTTTGTAGTTATCTAAAGCTTGCACTACGATTGACTAGCATGATATATTAATAAAAATTGATTGACAAATATTCAGTGTAGTTCATGTTTTGACTTTTACTTTTACTTTTGATGCAAATTAAGTGTTTTGTGTTGTTGCCAAAGGGCAAAGGCCCGTTTAACAAGGTAAGCTAAACCGCCTACAATATTTTAAAAAATTAAATTAAATGGAGAGGAAATATCTGACATACTGTATAACTTAAGAACTCCATTATTTTAGCTAACGTCTAATCTGCACTTTGCTCAGAACTTATGTTAAAGTTAATTATTGCTCTGTACTTGTGTAGTCGTGCATCTTTATTAAGGTATTGTAATTTGGATTTTCCTTATTAACCTCTTTGTTGATAGCTTATGAACTTCTAATATATCTAATATTGCTTGTTTAATGTACTGATCATCAGACTATGGACTTATAATACTGGAAAATGCTTAGTTGATTTGAATAAAATTTGAAACTAAATTATAATTGAAGTGAAATAGTTGCATGTTGTGCATTTGGTTTTTTGCTGACTTTGATTATGAGTTTATGCTAAAAGGGTAACTATTTTGAAATAGGTTGGAGCTGAGGATAAAGAAAGAAGGATAAAGGTTGTGATTGTGTGGGGTTTGTTGTCACTGTTCGCTTCTAAAGACTCTTAGTCTCTAATAAAGATGAAGGAAAGCAACTCAGTTCATAGAGGTGAGACCTGAGTTATGTGATTAAAGATTCTTAACTTATTTTTTTGGTGAGTAGCTACTTAACAAAGATGAGAAAAGTTTTGATATTATATGTATGTATAGCCCCATATCCCCTTTAAGTTCATTGAGCTGCTGATATTCAAAATAAATATCTAAAAGTGCAAGTAAATAAGTAATTAGGGTACTTCTTTTAATTTGATCATCAAATTCAAATGTGGCGTACAACAATTTTCAATATCGATACAAATTTTAGTTTGATTAAGAAATTCAAATCATCATTAATTTGCTTTAAAAAATTACAAAAAAAAAAACAAAAAAAAAGCCTCTATGGGCCTTATTTGCTCCGGTTATGAACCGTGGAGTCTTTTACTCCTGTTATTGGCTACCTCTACCCCCATTTTAACCGCAACAGTTGGGCTTTTTTCTAATAGTGTTAGTTTTTGAAAAATTATATTCTAACTTTGTTAATTGATTGGTAATACAGGGCATACATGTACATGGAAGAAGATATATATTCAAGACAAAGACGAAGAGTTGATCAATTAACACTTTAGATTGTTTATAGTCATTTGACCCATTTCCCTCTTTAAACGTTGCATTCTATCCCTTGTGTATTGTATCAGATATACAAAGTTAAACAATTATTGGTATTAGAAATGTACTAGATCGTGAATCATAAGTTATTTATTAGTATTTTTAAGAGTACATATATTGTGTAGTGAAATTCTATTGGATTTTGTTTTTTGGATTTTGATGAGTACACATGAATTTTTTTTATAAAATCAATTTTCTTCTATATTGATGTTTTGTTTCCTATTAGATTGATTATTTTCTATTGCTGAGTTCACATGTTGATTCGTCTTTATTCATTCAATTTATAATTTCACATATAATTGCTTTTAAGGTGTTGCTTTTAAGATATTTGGCATCATTTTTGTATTATTACTAACAAATACAACAAGTGAAAAGGTTGTTGTATATTATGACATAAGGTTACAATTTTAAATTGTCTCCTAAGGTGGCAACACTTTTAATTTGTTTCCTTTGTAAAGTTGTTGCCTTAGGTATCATTATACGTTGGTTTTTAAAAAATGTTGCCTTTGAACTAAAAAATGTTGCCTTATGAATAGACAATGGGGGCATAAACTACGCCTCATATGTGTTGCCTTAGCTACAAGGCAACACTTTTTTAATATTAGGCAATGGTTTTTCATTGTTACCTTTGCTTTGTTTTGTTGTAGTGTCACAGTTGGTAATCAAATTATGAATTACAATACAGTCATTGTATTATAAAGTCTTAACATTCTCCTAGTATATTATATTTTTATGATAATGATGGTACGTATATCATCACATACTCCACTAATTAAATTAACAAAATAAAAACTATACCGTATACAAAATAAGTAATCATAAATATATACTTCCTCCATTCTAGTAATATTACAACAATTGGACTTTTGCACTATTCATCATGTTTGTTTGACCACAAATTATAATTTATACGTAAAGTAAAATATAGTTCATGTGGGGTCTTGTTAAATTCGTCTTGTAAATTACTTTCACAATATTAACTTTTTATAATTTTTACTCTTATATAATTATAGATATTTAACATATAAAAAGTGTTTTGGGATGCGTAATTTCATCCTGATTGCAATATTTGTAGAACAGAGGAAGTATATGTAAAGGAAAACAAAACATGGATAATCAACAAATTTTTAATGATTAACATGGATAATAAGGCGAATAGAGGTAGCTTATAGATTCATACGAATATGCGACATGATTACAACTGTATATATATGGACTAAGAAAATAAAACAACATATCATAAATATGATTTAGTAAATTGGATTGCAACATCAATACAAGGTTAGTAAATTTCAATACCACGTGATAGCAATTAGCAAATAAGTAACAAACAAAGATGTAATTCGGCAGTTCGTCACTAACAAACAAAAGGACCAAATTTCATGATTGTAATCAAAACAAAGTGGAGGTAATCACCCTTACCTCAACGGGACAAAAACTATTGTGTACGAATTGTATATTTCCTCAACTCAATTAATTGAGGTTGGTGCAACAAGCTAGCTAGCAATAATGTTTCCTCCGATTCCCGATAACTAAAGCAATGATGCTGATAACGTATTATGAAATAAGGGGAAAGGGAGAATATTAGAGAGAGAGGATGTAGAAGGTAATTGTGTTGTATTCTTCTCATTTCAATAGACCATGTTGTATATACATGATGAGCATAAGGTAACCTTCATGGACAATTAAGATTCCATTTAAGTGGGGGTTACAAAGGAGGTAATGGCAAATGGGTGGTTACAAGGAGGTTACAATGGGTGGCATTATACTTAAGGGTGTAACAAGCTATAATGACCATCCACGATAAATATATTTTATAACATTATTCATTTTTAATCAACGAACTCCATTATTCCATTTTTTTTTATTTCTCATTCACTTTTAAATGATCAAACTCCCAATATTTTAAAACTTTTATTTATCAACCTTTAATCAACTAAAACATTTTAATTTTCAATTTCCTGAAAAACAAAAATACTTATTAGGCTTTAAATAAAGGTGATAACAGGCTGAGCCTTAACGCAAAATCTTGTGGCCAATCCTCCCAATGGAGTTGGGCTTATTAGGCCAACGCAGGCCTTTCGAGCTCTTTGGGACAGGGTTCAGATTTTGAATTAAAAATATGTTTTGGGGATGCCAAAACCCGCACTTTTTCGTGTCAGGTAAATAGATCATTGATCACCTCTAGTTTTAAAGAGGCAATTCGACAAGAGAGGGGGAGGGGGGTTGGGGGTGTTTCTGATGCGAGAGACTAGGGACTTAGAAAGTGAGGAGGGGCATCAGTATCTTACAGTAATTCGTTGAAAATATTTTCATACTCCACCATAGTCGCGTGATAACACTACGGTAGTAGGCAATCATACACATCAAATAAGGCTAGAAGGCACCACAATGCAAATGCTAATAGAAAACAAGGGAATCCACTAACAAAATTCAACTACATATCAGCATTCAGAGCTTTTTACGAATACCAAATACAAGCACATGAAAGACAAATCCTGGAACTTTAAGACACCAGCAGTCTAAAATCTTCCTCCTCTGCCCCCCCTAAAACCACCACGACCTCCTCTTGGAGGACCTCTCCCGCGGCTTGGGCCACCTCTTCCTCTAAAGCCACCACCTCTTCCTCCAAAACCACCACCACGACCACCCCTGCCTCCAAAACCACCACCACGACTACCTCCTCTTGAAGCTCCCCTGGGAAAGTCAGAAAAAATTCAGATCAGCTTTCTCAGATATGATATTGGAACAAAATAAATAAAGTATTACTATACATTCTAATACCAAATTATACATTACAATAAGTTCTCAATATGAAATAAACAGAACTAAAGTTATGTGAGGCATCTAAACATTTAGATATTAAGACCTGCAAACTGTTAAAAAATCACAGTACATACATACATACATACATACATACATACATACATACATTTTTAGGCCATATAAATTAGTATATACATTTTTTAGGCCGAGAAATCCTCATTTCGCACATGTACATTGAACGAAAAACAAAGCATACTTTAGGGAACCATAAATGAAAAGAGGGTACTGTACATATATTCTAACCTGATTTGTTCAAACACTGATTTCATCAAAATTTTCTGAACAAATATTCAAGTAAACCCAACAGAAACAGTTGCTTGAACCTAAGGTCCCTTCCAACTTCTACTAATTGCAAAGAAAATTACAAATCTGCTTAATATGACTTGGCTGTTTGTTTCACAAACTACAATTAACCAACATCTGCAAAATCTCAATAACCACTAGAAATCGAGGTTTTTGAAATAATGAACAAAAAGTTAAACTACCATGGTTATGAATAATGACTGCTCTCAAGGTCAAACATATAAATGCTGTGATTGTTCATGACAACTCAATATCAAATGACTAATTCAAGTTGCCATCAGCTTTAAAGATACAAAAAGCATAGTACTCAAATTTTCTGTTAAAAGTATTCAATAGGGTGTGTTCTATAATCTATACAACTAAATTTTCCTAAATGCAACCTACTAAAACTTATTGGAGCTTATCTAATCGTGTTCTAAGGAGTAAATTGATATTTCGTTTCAAGACTTTCAACACATACTACCATCCATATAACCACGATTTTCAGTCAGCAAACCTAAATATTGAATAACATGCTCTAGGGAGTAAATCCAAATCGTGTGAAGACTTTCAACGGATACTACCATCCATACAACCAAGAAGTTCAATCGCAAGCTTAAAAATGGAAACAACCTGTTTCCTACCCATTTAATTATTAAAGCTACCCTGAAAGTACTACAATTGCCTATCGAAATCAAGCTTAAGTATAATCCAAACTGTCCAAAATCTAATTCATGCACAAATGTATAATAAAAGCAATACCCAGAATTTAACATTATTATAGCACCAAATATGAGAAATAAAATTCAACATACTTAGGCTGTGGAAGAAATCTAGCCAAAGGCAAGAGCTTTGCAGGGTCAATGTAGAATTTATCCCCTGGAGCATATGAAGTTGCAACTATTCCTTCCATCATTTTCACAGAAAAAAACTGCAACATTCAAACATTCAATTAAAACCCCAAATTAAATCAAATAAATTAAATTAAAATGATAAGAGATATTGAAAAGAAATATTACAGATTCATTAATTGGACCAAAAATTTCTTCAACTTTGCCAATCTGAGTCTTATTTTGCAGGTAAATAGGAGCATTAAAGTAAGGAATTTTCTCATGCGTCAATTTTGTAACTGCTTCTCCCTCACACGCATGAACAAACGTCGATATTTCTGCTCATAACACAAATTAATCAACAAACACCCAGCAAAATTCAAATCATTTTCAACAAATCAAACAAAAAAGCAAGTAATTACAAAGAAAGATAGAAGGAATACCGACGACTTCTGAAGGTGGACCTTCGTCGCGAAAACCACCACCACCACGACCGCCAAAACCACCACCGCGACCGCCGAAGCCTCCGCGACCTCCGCGACCACCGCGGTCGCCTCGACCACCGCCGCCGCGAGCGCCCCTGAAGCTACCGCCGCCTCTCGGAGGTCTCATTGTTGTTGTTTATTTGAGAAGAGAGAAGAAAAAAAATGGAGGAGAGTGAGAGGGGCGTGAATTAGGGTTCAGGGTTTAAGAAAAGGATATAGATGAGTAGATGACAGAAGAGAAGGAAAAAAATTATAAGGCTAAAACTATACAAGTATTTTGTTTGTGGGTTTTGACATTGTTGGGTTAGTAGTTTTTTTTATCAATTCGTTAGGCCCAAAAGGGAAAAGGCCCCAAATTTATGTTGTGAGTGGATAATCCTTCTCAGTTTCTACAATGTGATGCCCTATTTGGCGATAGTGTTTGAGTTAACGATTAGCATTTTAATCAACTCAAAACACTAACAGAGAAAAATAAGAGTGTTTCATAAGGTAGTAGTTCGGGGAGCGGTTAGTGGTAGAGGTAGCGTTTGGGTAATTTTTCTCAAACGTTAAATATAGTAGCGTTCCAAAGGTAGCGGGTAGCGTTTGTTAAATTTTTTATTACCTTTTACAACAATGTGAATGGATTTTAATCTATTTTAGTATTTCAACCGCTTTTTTTGCCAAATACTCATACTATCAACCATTACCTTGACAGCTAACCTCTACCCACTATTAATTGATAGTTACTCACTACCCTAACGACTACCTGCTACTCGACTACTAAAAGCTATCGGCTAGTAGCCTACCACTAATTTTACCAAACCAGAGCCTAAAACTAATTCATATTTATTGTACTCGCACTCTTAAGCTAGAAACCACTGCCACGTCACCTTTTGGTCATCCACTATCTTAAACAATGAAAGGGTCGGAAGGGTTTTCTCGGACACACCCCAAGGCCAACTTACATGGTTATTTATGCATGTAATTAGCACACAACGGTCTTCCCATTCCACAACAAATGATTCTCACACGAAAAAATTTTTATTAGATAGAAACAATAGCTATCTATACCATACTATTATACTAAAATAATTCCCAAAAGCATTCGTAAGTTACACGTGTCAATACCACATAAAAATTTTCCCGCCAAACACTTTTTTTTGTCATTTTTTTATTAAATAAATATTTTGAAGTTAATTTTAAATAAATATTGAACCAAAACGTGACGTTGATATTTAAAAACAATGAATAACTAGATGTTAATTTTATTAGGGTAAAAGATTAGATATTTTAATCTTAACATACACAATCCAATATTCAATTTGACTAAGTTAAAAATGAAAAGTTATTACATATAGATAATTCCATTTGTTGATCAACTAAGTAAATCGTCATACAAAACTAATTTTTCATATTATGCATAAAAATAATGAAAAGTCTGGACATTAACTAGTTTAAGAAAAATACAAGAGGAAGTATTTTTTTGAAGGAAAAAAAAAAGGATTATTAATGACGGTTAAGTCTTTTGTCAAATTATTTTTTACAAGAACTGTTAAATGACTTAAATCTAATACACCTCCCCCTCCCCCACCACACAAACACACACAAACATGCATTTATGGTAAATTCACATGTGTTAATCTATATTTATGACTAACAACATCTCTAACTAGGTAAAGGCTACACATAAACTCAGTGTATATGGGGCCAACATACATTTGTGACATGTATGTTGGACATGTATGAGGCCAACATCTCTAACTAGGTAAAGGCTACACATAAACTCAGTGTATAGGTAAATGCTTTGGGGACCAAAAATAATATTTTTAAACATTTCATTCAAAAAATTTAAATGAAATTTTCAAATCAAATTTCAAATCTGATATCTATTTTCAAGGCATAATAAATACACACAAATTCCCAACCACCCCATTCTCTCTTCTCTCATTTTTTTTTGGCTGATTATTTTTATGGTCCAGTTTTTCTGTCTTCTCTCTCTCTTCTAATGTTCTTGTTCTTGAATTCAAATTTTTTTTTTTCCAGATTTTTTGTATAACTTAACTTTTTTTATATATATAATGTTCCTCTTGTTTCACGATTAATTATCCTCTCATTATTTTTGGCTTAAAATTTTTGCGGTTTGATTTTTAGCGGTTCGATTTTTTCCTCTCTTCTATCTCTTCTAATGTTCTTCATGTTATTGTATATTTTCTGAAAAAAAAAAAATTATTCTTCATCTTTTGCTAGAAATTTGTTTGTTTTTTCAGAAATTCATATGAATATACAATGTTTTGTTATACAATAAATTTTTTAATTATTTGTTATTTATCATTGTGTAACAGATCTGTTTGTAAATTTTTTTTTTCTTATTTTGATTTTTATGAATGTTATGTTCAAAACAGAAAAAAAAAAGGATTTTTTTTTTCCTCAGCATATACATATATTAGCTTTATTGTATTGATTTTTAAGATTATTAAATTGGTTTGAAGACAAATCATGTTATATTTCAACCATATAGTTTTTCAATCGAATCCTACTATATTATGTGAATTGAAATATCGTTATTTCTAACGTTCTTCAATTTTCTCAAATTTTTTTTTTGAAGAACCGTTTTCCCAGATTTTAAACATCAAAGTATAAAATTTCTTCAAGTTAGATTTTTTTTTTTTTTTTTTTTTTTTATGAATCTTCAAGTTAGATTATTGACCAGTAACAAATGTTAGACTTTGGATTATTCACAATGGCAACACATTAAATTCCTTGAATTATCACAGTGACATATTAATAAGAAATATATATTCAGTTTTAGAACCAAACATCAAGCTTTCCTATCCATGAAACGTTTGGAATCAATTAATTGATAATTAAGATTAAAAATTAAAACGAAGGAAAAAAAATCAGGTATCTTAAAATTAAAACGGGTTGTAACGATTGTAGATTTCTAATTTATTTAGTAACAACAATTATTTAAATAGTATTCAATTCATTAACTAGATTACAGTAACAACAATTATTTAAATAGTATTCAAAACCTATATTATAGTTTTTAAATAATGCGGTGTATACTATAAAAATATAAAGTATGAAGATGTTAACACGGTGAGTATCCTGCAATTTTGGTTCTTGATGCAACAATTGTAAATTTTACAATAGGTTTGTAGTTGTATTAATATTAAGGAGCATAATTCCACTTTTTAAAAAATAACAATTGATCGAGAGGTGTTATTTGTTCTTATAATAATCAATTATTTAATATAAATATTACGGAGCATAATTTCATTTTTTGATAGAACATGTTGTCGAGATTTAGTTGTTAGTTATCTTAATATTCAAAAACAACAATTGATCGAGAGTTTCTATTTTATTTTATATTACAAGATAAATAATTGGTGTGCCTTATATAATTAGTTATCTAGTATTAATATTAATATTAAGCAATGAAAACATAACTAATAATGTTAAAGAAGATGTAATATATATATATATATATATATATATATATATATATATATATATATATATATATATATATTAAATGAGGAGTAGTTAGAAATGTCCTTAGAAGGTGTAAACAAAGTTTCGAAAATTTTAAGTTTTATTATTAATATGTTTTAGAACTTTTATTTATTTTGCATTTAAAATCCTTTTTGACAAAATGATATATTTATTAGTATTGCAAATAATTGATCGAGTGTTAGTATTTGTGCATTACAATATTAATAATTGTTATGCATTTTAATAATCAATCATAATCTAATATTAATATTAAGCAGGCAAGCAGTGTAATTTTACTTTTTGGTAAACATAATTGATCGAGATTTAGTAGTTTCATAATTGTAAAGGAGCATCATTTCATTTTTAAAAATAATAAGTGATCAAGAGTTAGTATGTGTACACTACAAGTTTAATTATTTTTGTGCCTTGGAGTAATCGATTATCTAATTAAGGAATAAGATCATATTAGTATTGCAAATAATAACGGATCAACGGTTTATTGAATATAGTTACTATTAGGTTCCGAGTTCAAATATAATACTTAAGGGATAATAATTATTTGTATTTCAAATAGATATTTATTAACCACCAACTATTTGTTTAAAACTTTTAGAAGTTATGATTCCAAATGAATAAGCTATAACGCTAACGAAGATGGGAAAAAAAGTAGTATAATGATGATTAGTTAGAGTAGATCTCCTTACAAGAAGTAAATAAAGTGTCAATAATTCTATTATTTATTATATATACTAGGTTATCCCCGTGCGATGCACGGTTAGAATTAATCTTTCTTGTAATTTATGTTCTATTGCATTATATTGTATATAAAGATTATAATTAGATATAAAAATAATTTACATTTAAGGATATATATGAACCACATTATTTACAATTAATATTGAAATAGTCAAAAGAAAATTATTTAAGGAATGCATATTAATGAAATATGAAGAAGAAAAAAAAATACACAGTATATAATTAGCACCAATGCTTCAAAAAATATAATTTGCATCAACGTCGTCAAAATTATTATTTTAGCTTCCAGCAATTAACAGTTTGTATAGTAGTTTGTAGAAGCATCTATTTGATTTTTTAGTCAAAATACATAAATAGTTTTCAAATTAATAAAAATAGAGTAGTTCAACTTTTAAGAAAATAAAAAATAAAGATGATGTCATTAAAGCATTTAGGCGGGAATTTATTTTTATGAAAAAGCGATATGTGTACAAATTTAGAGAAAGATGATGTCAGCATGTTTTGTTTTAATATTAGTTAATAGATGTTATAAAACTTTTACTTTATTTGTTTTTGGTTTTTGGTTTTTGGTTTTTTTTTTTTTTTTTATATATATATATATATATATATATATATTTTGACAAAATGCTATATTTGTTAGTAACTGAAAACGATTTTATATATTCCAATTGTTATTTTTTTTAACCCTCCACTATTATGGAGTACATTTTAACCCTTCACGTACTATTTGATTTTAACCATTCACTATTTGAGTTAGTTCTTACTCCCTCTGTATATTATTACTTGCTCCACTTCCCTTTTGCGGCCGTATTTTATTACTAGCTCCATTTCCTTTATTGAAAATTTGTAATTATAAAGATTATTGTAGACACTTGATTGTGTCTCCCCAAAAACCAAACTCAGTAATGAGTACCTTTCACGTCTTTGATTAACGAGTTCCGTAAAGAGTTGAAGAGTCTCGTGAAGTTTCCTTAAGCTTTGACCATATATCTAACCTTTCCTAAA